TGGCTCACTCCTCTTGTCTGTATCACTCACTGGGGGTGTCTCATATAATGACCCTCAGTCACACATATCAAATCACTAAGTCAGAAGTACAAGATGGAGGAGACATGACAAAATAGTGAGAGGTATTTATGGCATAATCTAGAGATTTTAGCAAGCCCAGCCTGAGTCAACAAGGTGATAGGGTAGGCAGAAATGCTACTTCAATCTTTGGCTTCATTGGGAAGCATAGTTTCCAGGACTGGGTAGGAGAGAGGCCATTTATACTCTTCCTGGGTTAGACCAAACGTGTAGCTTGATATTCAGCTTAGCGCAATGCCTGCCACACAATAGGTGCTTATTAAATGTTTATAGACTGACTGCTTTCCTCTAAAGAGCTCTGGACTGGGAGCCCATAGCCTGAGTCCAGTTTCCTGGGGCTTTCCATGAAAAAGGGCCTGAACAGGCATTGGCAGGGAACTCAGCAGCCTGGACAGGCCTCCCCTCTAATGAGCACCCACATTACTAGAGCACTTTCAGGTTCATCCTTCAAATCTTTGCTTCAATTTTATTACTTTTTGTCCCCATAATGACTTGGGAGGACAGTGCTATTATTATCCATCTTACAGATAAAAGAACTCTAACTTTATTTCCTCTTCTAACCCTAATTCCAAGTTTCTATGATTTCTGGTTCTAGCATTACCATCTGTCTGTCCTTGAGTAAGGCACTTTCTCAGGCAGGGTGGTTTGTTCTAGGTGCCATGGTTTGAGAAGGGCATTGACATTCCAGGGAGTGTATCTTAAATTAATGCCACATGAGGCTCAGTGGGAGAAATGAGGGATGTTTAGCTTGGAGACCACAACATTTAGGGGGACGTCATAGCTGTCTTTAAGAATTGGAACAGCTGGCATTGAGAAGAAGGATGGAGCTTTTTCTGCTTGGCCCCAGAGGCCAGAACTAGGAGTGATGGGTGATTTGCAAAGGGCTAAACTTAGCCTCGATATTAGGAGAAACTTCCTAACAACGAGAGTTGCCCAAGAGGGTCACCCAGCCTCTTGGAGCTGACCAGAAATGCCACGTATATGGTGGATGCAGCTAGGAGGCACTGTAGCAGATAGATACTGGGCCTGCAGTCAGGTAGACGAATTCAAATCCAGTCTCAGATATTAGCTGTGGGACCCTGGGCAAGTCATCAACCTTTATTTGCTTCAGTGTCCTCAACTGTAAAATGGGGGTGGATCATAATAACATACCTCACAGGGTTGTTGTAAGGATAAAATGAGACAATATTTCTAAGGCACTTTGCAAACTTTAGAAAGCTATATAAATGACAGCAATTAGAACATTAGTATATACATCTAGTAAGCGTGTGAGGGAGGATTAAATGACAGATCTTCCTGATTTCAAGGCCAAGACTCCATCCATTGTACCACCCTGCCTGAGAAAGTGCCTTAATCAAGGACAGACAGATGATAATGCTAGAACCAGAAATCACAGAAACTTGGAATTAGGGTTAGAGGAGGAAATAAAGTTAGAGTTCTTTTATCTGTAAGATGGACAATAATAGCACTGTCCTCCCAAGTCATTATGGGGACAAAAAGTAATAAAATTGAAGCAAAGATTTGAAGGATGAACCTGAAAGTGCTCTAGTAATGTGGGTGCTCATTAGAGGGGAGGCCTGTCCAGGCTGCTGAGCTCCCTGCCAATGCCTGTTCAGGCCCTTTTTCATGGAAAGCCCCAGGGAACTGGACTCAGGCTATGGGCTCCCAGTCCAGAGCTCTTTGGAGGAAACTTCCTATTGTATACCAGTTAGGATGTACTCTCCTTGAGGGCAGGATTCGCTGCTTCTTGACCTCCTATACCCAGCATGGAGCCCAGAGCCTGGCACACAATCTGTGTATCTTCAACACTTGCTGATGGATTGTACACGAAGGTATAAACAGGCACTTTTGGTAGCCTCCAGACTGTCTGTGGGATCTCTGGAGGCCAACAAGATGAAACAAGACGTGGGCTCTCTCCCTCCTCTCTCCACCCCCAACTTCCTCTGCTCCCTGCTGAGTCGGCAGGTTCTTCTAGGAGAAGGTGCGGCTGTACATTCCCTGCCCAGCTGACAAGCCCGAGGGTCCTTACTGAACAAGGCCTGAGTATGTTCTGAAGCCTTCCTCCTTGGCCACAGTGTTTGCCAGGAACAAACAGACCTGAGCACACAGGAAGGCTTGAAGCCAAGCTGGAAACTCCAGGCCCGGGCTGCTGGAGAGGGTCTCCGTGTCACCCACTCTCTGATCCCTCCTGAATCTCTCCTCTCACTCTCCTTTCAAGTTCTCAAAGCGCTTCCTTCCCGACAGCCAGGAGAGCTAGAGAGGTGAATAAGCCTGGAGGCATCCCCTCTCCCATCTTGCCAGTAGAAGCTCAGGACCTGGCCAGAGAATTTAACTCGGATAGATAGGCAATGGGAGGCCCAACGGGGCAAAGTCCAGCCATCTCCCCAGCACATGGACTGGGGCTGCGAGCTTGTTTCTTTAGGATTTTGATAATAGTATTTTCACAGAAGTGGTTTCCTTTGCAATCCTATGTATTTTGTCTGATACATTAAAAAGCATAGAGGTTTTTTTCCCCCCCATAGTGCACAGAGGGCCTAAAGTCGGTAAGACTTATCTTCCTGAGTTCAAATCTAGCCTTAGACACTTCCTAGCTGTATGACCTTGGCCAAGTCACTTCATCCTGTTTGCCTCAGTTTCCTTATCTGTAAAATGTGCTAGAGAAGGAAATGGCAAATCACTCCAGTATCTTTGCCAAGAAGACCCCAGATGAGATCCCGGACAGGAGGACGCTGCTGAAATGACTCAACAACAAAAATGAAAAAGTTATCATTCTGAGCGGGGTTCCTAGGCTTCACCAGACTGCCAAAGGTGGCCATGACACAAGGTTAGAACCTCTGAGCTCCTCTCAAAGCCTGCATTTGGCTCAACGACTCTACCCCCGACTTGATTTTAGAAGGAAAGCAGAAGCTGCCTTCTACTTGTTTAATTCTTTTTCAGTGACATTATAGGATCCAATGGGCAATATGAAGTTGGGAGGAGGAGCAGGGCAAGAAACAACATTTATGAAGCCCCTACTATGTGCCAGGGACTATGGTCAGTCCTCTACAAATATCTCATTTGATCCTCACAACAACCTGGAGGGTAGGTACTGTTATTATCCCCATTTTACAGATGAGGAAACTAAGGCAGATGGAGGTTTGTGACTTGCCCAGAGTCACACAGCTAGTAAGTATCTGAGGCTGGATTTGAACTCAGGTCTTCTTGACTTCAGGAAACCCAACACTCTGTGTCTTGTGGCATCTCCTAGCTACCTCTAAGGAGAATCCTTTCTTGTTTTCACTTACAGAAGAACTACATTTATTTATTTATTCATTTATCTCTCTCTCTATCTATCTATCTATTTATTGAGATAATGATGGAAGCAACTTTCTTTGAAATCTCTAGCTCTTGGGTCACCAAGTTTACTTCATTCCTCTGCCAAAGCTTTGGTTCCATGACAAGCTTACTTTTCTTCCTTCTTCCCTCTCTTCTCCTTTTCCCTTTCTTCCTCCTTCGCATCTCTCCTCTTCCCTTCCTTTTGTCCTCCCCCCCCAGTCCCCTCCTTCTCCATCCCCTTTTCCCAGAAATAGCCCCTTTGGGTCAATTCACCAATGTCTGGTCAGGGTAGGTCATTTTGCATTTGGAACTTGGTATTTCCCAGAATTGCCCTCTTTGAGTCAGAAACGACCTCAGAGGCCACCCTGAATCCAAGCCAGAGCTGACCAAAGAATGCTAACATCTCCATCAAGCGATCACCTAACTTCTACTGGCATCCCTCCATTAACAGAGAACTCAGTGCCCCCTGAAGCAGCCTATTGCATTGTCTGTAACATTCTAAATGAGTAGAGACTACATCTGTGCTTTCACTGGTATAAGGAACTCCCTGGAGAGCAAACTCCCTCCACTCACAGCAAGACAGCACCTTTTCTGCAGTTCATAATATCAGAGAATGGCCTAGAGTACTGAGAAGCAAAGAGCTTTGTCCAGGGTCCCCCAGCAGTCTGGATGTGAGGTGGGACCAGAACCCAGGTCTTCCTGGTCTGAAGTCCAGATCTCTGCCCTCTGTACCACACTGCCTCTGTGATAGTTCTCTCTGGTCTTGGAAACATGAGCAACTCCAGGGCTTACTGTCACAATGGACCAGCAGGGCCTGGCTGTTGTGTGATGGCAAAGCAGCCGGGTTCATTCCCAAGAGAGAGGCACCATCTCTTTACTGCCTAACTACAGATGTCAGTTTCCCCTGATCGTCTCCTTCTACAATCAAAATCTATCCCCAACAAAAGTCAATGAACTCAGTCACACTAACATGTAAGTGAAGAATGAGCCATAGCATCCTAGAAAGGACCTAAATGAGTCAAAGAGATGTAAGAAGCCATTCAATCCAATCTCCTCATGTTACAGATGAGGAAACTAAGGCCCAAAGCAGGGAAGGTCACCTTCGGAATACGTGGCAGAGCTGAGTTTCACCCCTAGAATCTCTAACTCCTAATCTAACCTTCCTTCCCTTGGACTTTGCTGCTTCCCGAATGCTTCAAGCATTCTCCCTCTTGATTAATTTTCTGTTTTAACAGCAGATAAAACCAATGGAATTTATCTCTAGTTGGAGGATTGCAGGTATCAGAGAGGCATTTTGCTAGGCAGAGAGAGCTTTCTCAGCATCCTGGGACTTATGCCTTAGAAACTCACCTAGAGAGATAAACTCACTCCATGATGACTCATCATTCCCTTGAACACGTCTGGAGAGCCTGGACATAATATGTACCAGATGGCCCTTAGCCCGCACATTGCATTTTAGGGAGTTTTTGAATTGATCAAATTAGTCACACCATTTTTTCCCTCTCCACCCTGAAATGCATCCCCATTGTTTCTTTCTTCTGGCAAGGTCTACCTAGCACTGGTGAGAAGTTGAGTCATGGTCACACTGCTGCTTTATTCTCTATTAATTCTATCCAACCCAATTCAGTGAGCATTTATTAATCGCCACAGTGTATCAAGCATAGATGATACAAAGAAAAAATGAAACAGTGTTTGTTCTCAGGGAGCTTATTCTCCTGGGGGGTGAGGAGTGAGGACTAACACTCACATAGATAAGTTCAAAATACGTACAAAGTAAGTACCAAATCATTAGCTGGGGCAGAGATGAGGCTGGAGGCATCAGGAAAGGCTTCCTGTAGGAGGTGGCCTCCAAGCTGAGCCTTGAAAACAGCTAGAAGGAGGAGATGCGATTTTTCCTGGCTGTGTTCTTTTGCACCAGAAGCAGATTTCCGAGTGGTGTCGGTGAGAACTCCCCATTCAGATAGACCAGGTTGCCACGGACAATGCTAGCAAAAACCTCTCCATGAAGGTGAAAGCCTAGATAGGGTGTCAGCTGTGATTGAAACAAGACACCTGTGAAAAGGCCATTCTCCTCATGGAGGTTTTCCAGCAAGCTCTCCTTCAGGACTGCTCTTAGAGAGATCATCTAGGCCAACCTCCTTCTTTCAGAGGAAGAAACTCAAGAGGACCGCAGAGGGCAGTGATTGATTCCTGTCCGTCACTCCCTTTGTTCCCTAGTGAAACTCTCTAAGGAAGTTGCCAAGTGGGATAATTCTGATTCACTTAAAAAAATCAATTCACAAATATGGAAATGGAGGACGAGAGGGGATGGATAATTCAGAGGAAGGATAGAGGCCTATGGGCCGCGATTCCAGGGGCATGGAGTGTTGTCTGAGGCTTCATTAAGAGAGGCAGAGTGCCCAGGACTGGGGAGCTGCCCTCTGCCCTGGTCCTACGCACCTCCCTGGACTGTGTTTGGGGGGACTTCTGAGTGTCACTGTTTGAAAGGTTAGACAGAGGAGGGTGAGCAGGGTGCCAGGAGGTTGGAGACCATGTCACAGGAGGATTGGGCGGAGAAACTGGAGATGTCTAGCCTGGAGAAGAGAGAACTTGGTGGTGGAAAGGAAGGGGGATCTGTCCTGTGGAAGAGGGATTAGACCACTTCTATTTAGTCCCACAGGGTAGAATTAGGACTAGGAGGTGGAATTTATGAGAAGCCGGTGTCGGCTGGATGGAAGAACAATGTCTAGTGATTAGAGCTTTGTCAGAATAGAAGAGGCTGCTTTGGGAGGCAGGGAAGGCCCCCTCACTGGAGACTTTCGAGCAAATGCTGGAGGACCCATGGCCAGGGTATGTATGTAGAGGGCTATGCATGCATGTGCTGCATGGATGTGTGTGTGTGTGTGTGTGTGTGTGTGTGTGTGTGTGTGTATGTGTGTGCGTGTGTGGATGCAAAGGGCTCTTGCTCAGGTACAAATGGAACTAGAAGGCGCCAGAGGTTCCTTCCATCTCTCAGAGTCTAGGAGCCGTCTCAGACCCTTCAAGCATGACCTCGCGTGATGGTGAGAGACCCTTCAAAGTCACTTCCTCTGATTCTATAACTGGAGGGGAATCTCTCCTCCTTTTCCCAGGTATACAGAGGCAGCCCCCAGAGCTCACTAGTGCCCCAGGCACGGTGCCCTGGGTAGGAAACACTCTTTCTAGCCTGCCCTGAGGAGACCTGTAGTCTGAATGAGACAACAAAACCTCTCATACCTTGTTTTTGTGCTGAATCATTTTTTCATTGACCTGAAATGAAAGAACATGCATTTTAATGACTTAATCTGCCTAATTCTCTGTTCTTGGGGGTGGGGTGTGGGAAGGGAGGGAGGCTTTAAATATTATTCTATTATGAACCTTAGCCCACCAGAGCCAAAGGAGGGAGGACCTGGCTGGATGTGAGTGCCCAGAGCTTTCTTCCCTGCTCTAAATTCCCCACCCCTTCTTGTACAGCTCTTGTACATGCCCCACCTGGAAGTCCCACCAACGCTCCACACTCAATCTGATCAAAACTGAACTTATGGTCTCTGCCCCCCAAACCTTCTCCTCATTCTGACTTCACTACTTCTGCCAATGAGATCGCCCAGGTGGTTAATAGCCGCTTGTCCTCTCACTGGATTGTAAACTCCTTGAGGGCAGGGACCATGTCTGCTTTATCACTCCCTCCTCAGGCCTAGCACAGTGCTCTATGCAAAGTACTCAATAAATGTTTGTTGAATTCAATTTGAATAGAATCACACCATAGAAATAATGACCAGAAGTGTGCCAGCCCATCTCTCCAGGAGGGTGGGGTTAGGCCAGACCTGGGGCTTACCTCTGCCATGATGCCTGTGCTATGGGTTGCTTTGACTCTTTTTATTTCTATAGTAATGTAAGTTCATTGACCTCCTCTCCGGGTTCTGTCTGTTTAGTTCCTACCTATATCAAGTTCCAATTTAAATTCTACTTCTTCTATGTGACCTTTCAACTTTCAGGATCTCCCCTATCCCCACCTGGCCTGAAAGGGGCTCTGTCCTCTGAACTCTCAAAGTTCTTCCTACCATTCTCATAGCCTCTTCACACTCTAGCTTGGATTAGACTATCTCTCTGTGTGCATATCCTGTGGTCTCCAGTTACCTCAAACTCCTTATCTGGATCCCAGATCACCAGGTCGGCATCTTGTCCTGGACTTAAGGACCCCTTCTGCTCTTCAAGTCCACTCAGTTTGGCTGGATTCTGGCACATGAGTTTGACCACGTCATGAAGAGAAAACCCTCTGAGTCGTGCTGAGGTCCAGAAAAGTGGGAGTCCTGCACACAGAGCAGAAGGAACCCCAGGCACGAGTGTCTGCCGAATCTGTCCCCGACACACAACATGAGACTAACGTACTTGGTTGAGAGAAGGCTTGAATCTCCCTTCGCAGACTGACTCAGTTAAACAAACTGTTAATAAGAGTTTACTATGCGCTATCACTGGGTTCCATGTTGACTCCCCTCATAAAGCTTCCATTCAGTTGGGAAGGAGGGAGAGGGAATGTAACATGTAAACAAGTAAGTGAAAACAAAATAATAGAAAGCCATTTCAAAGGAAAAGGGGCTAATAACTAGATGCTTTAGCAATGGCTGCTTCAAAGGCAACCTGGGGTCATAGGAAGCCCAGGTCAGGGAGGTGCTTCATTTTGAGTGGGGAGCAGAGGGACACCCCAGGGAGGCAATGGGGCTAATGGTTTACGGTCACAGAAGAGGAGTGGAAAAATTAAGCCTTCTCTTTCACCGTTCTGTTGTCAAGTTTTTCACTGATTTCTGCTGGTGAAAATATCACTTGGGGTGACATTTTGTCTTCTGAAGGTTTCCCCAGAAGTTGTCAAATCCACAAAATGGAAGGCGGAGCTGCATCAGGACGTTGCCAGAGACCGTTGGGAACTCGCCGACATTCTCGTCGACGTCTCTGCTGCCAACTGCAGCAGTGTGCAGGCCGCTGCTGTCAGAGGGCTTGGGTAGCAGAAGGCAGCTGCCAGGAAGCCTGAAGCTATGCATGGTTAACCCCTTCTATCCTAGGCACACAGGCCTCAGTGTAAAAGGAAGAGCGCTACATGGCTCCCAAGAGGAGAGGGGCCCCATTCTGCAGCACACTCTTTGGTGGACACATGGGAGGTTCATCCTCTTCCCCTATTTCACAGGTAGGAAAATAGGCACAGTCATCCCCTCCCCATGTCTAATCATGCGAGGTCTTGTCAGCTCTGTCTCCACAGCCTGCTTCTCTCCACTCAGACTGCCATCTGAGGCTCCCTCACTTCAAGCCCTCATTGCTTGAAATAACAATAGCCTCCCAAGTGGGCTCTCTGTCTCATCTTTCCAATTCACCCTCGACAGCTGCCAAGTTGGCATTCTTAAAAATCAAATTTAACCATGTCTCTTCTTTGTCCTCTACACAAAAATCATCAAGGCTCCCTAGGATAACATACGAAACTCTCATTCAGGTGCTTGATCACAGCGTTCAAATACTTCATTTTACATGGGAGTGAACTGAGGATGTCTAGAGAAGGAGACTGACAGAGACAAGATCATGGACCTAGCCAGCAGCAGATCAGAGGAGCCACAGATCCCCATCTCTGGCGGCCAGCTGAGGAATCTCTCTACTACTCGATGCTGAGGTGGACTGGAGTTCACCTAAGATCCTCTGGTTATCTTCTCCCGAAGTCTAAATGGTATGAGGAATCCCCAGAATGACTGCATATAAAAGCAGTAGATTAGACTCACCTAGCCTTCTCAAAGTTGCTTTGGTAAAGAGGGCTGTGGGTGAAGAAGACAGAAGTGGAAAAAAGGATTTTGGGGGATATTGAGGGAGAAATGTAAAGGACTTGAAATGACATTCATTCAGAGAATTTCAAAGTCAGAATGAATGAATGAATAAAGCATTTATTAAGCACTTACTGTATGCAAAACTTTGTGCTCTGGAAAGGGCTTGTATGACTCCCTGGTCCAACCTGCCCTGAGCAAGAATCCCCAGTGCTATCGGCTAATAATGACAATAGAAATAGCAATAGTAATAGTAACCGCAGCACACACTTTATAGTGTTTAAAGGTTTGCAAAGCACTTTGCTTGGGTTACCTCATCTGATTCTCACAACAACTTTGTGAGGTCAACGCTATTTTTATGTCCACTTTTTATAGAAGAGGCATCTGGTGGCAAGAGGTGAAGTGCCATGCCTTGGCTCACACAGCTAGGAGGTATTGGAGGCAGAATTCAAACTCAGATCTTCCTGACCCCAACTTCAGCACTCTCTCCACTCTCCACTGCAAGGCAAGCTTCTACTGGCTTCTTACTAGGACAGCCCCTTCCTGAGGACTCTTACCTAACTGCAAGGAGGAGATGCCGCCCCATGCCTGGAGGAAGTCACCATTTTCTAAATGCTTCAGGTCTTCGGTGCAGGGCGAGTGGTCTGAGATGACCAGGTCAATGTCACCCTCCTGTAAGGCTATCCAGAGCTGATCCTAAGGTGGAAAGACAAGCCATAGTTAGTGTCCCTAAGGGGTGACTTGTCCCGGGCTTTTTGGTGCTTCTCGGGAAGCGGTGGGAAGGCAGGCTTTCCAGGCTGGAAAGGGTTAACTTCTTGACGCTGAGTTCTGAAGTCACCTCTCTACATGGATCCTTGTTGGGTTCTTCTCAACAAGATTCATCCCTTACTGGAGTAAGGATCACCCAAACATGGCCACTTTGCCTGGAGAACCCGTTCAGATCAGGGTCGCTTGTGAGACAGAAGGGCCCTGTTAGACAATTGTATGAATGTTAAACCACTCAAGGAAAAGGCAGACTAATCCCTAGCATTTTCACCATGTTTGAGGGTTTGCAAAGTACTTTCCACATGCCATCTCACTTAATTGATGACATATTAGCTACCAGGATAGAGGCAGAGGCAAAGACGATGAAGTAGTCTTTATTAGAGAAGCAAATACTCTGTATGAGAAAAGGCATTAATACAATGCAGTGAATCCTTAGGAAAAGAGGAACGTGTCCACTTTTGTGTGGTGGATAGAGAACCAGAAAATCCGGGGTTCAAGGGCTACCTCTGGCGCACATTGACCGTATGGCTCCAGAGAAAGACTTCTTCACCTCTTTAGGGTCTAGGCAAATTTCTAAGACTCTAAGATGAAGAAAAGGGACTGCCTTGCCTTGGTCCAGTCGCTCTGGCCCCTCTCCCCATCCCTCCCCCTTGCTGGTAGCTCCCCACAAGTCACCTGATTCTTCTTGCTCCTGATGGGGGGACAGCACTTGTACTGGGTGCCTCCAGGGGGCACATACTTAGCATCCAAGGAGAGATAGTGATGGGTGGTCTCTACGGTGAGGGGTGCACCCTTCCTCCTCGCCTCCCGGATGATTGGCACAGCTTGAGCACTTGAGAGGTGAACAATATGGCATCTCACCCTGTTGGTAGAAGGAAAGAGAGGGTTTGACACATTTTCTCCTCTCCCCTCCCTTCCCCTCCCCTCTAACTCTATTAAATTGCATGTTTCTTTTGAGGAGGGTCTATGTCATCTCTCACTTATCCTCAGAGCCCAGCCAAGGATCTTGTCTGTGCATCTTCTCTACCACACTCCATGAAGAGCAGGGACTATTTTCACTTATGTCTTTGCATCTCCAATGCCTAGGATGGTGCATGAGGAGCCAAGTCTGGGCAATAAGCATCTATCAGGCACCTATTATGTGCCATTGTACTAAGCACCAAGGATACAAAGCAGGGCAAAGAACAGAAGAACACTATGTAAAAACAAGACATCAATGGGGCAAATTGGAGATAATTCTGGAAGGAGTGCACCAAGTAGGTGTTTAATAAATGCTGGTCCATTGGCTGATCAATCATATCAATTATCTTGTTGAAGTGATGAATTGAACCAGTGAGGGTATACAAGCAATAGAATCAGCATGGCCTTGGAGTCCAAGGATTGGCTTTGCAATGCCAACTCTGCCATCTATGACCTTAGCGGCCTTTGCCAAATCCTTTAATCTCCTGGGCCTCAGTGTCTTTATCTGTAAAGTGGGATGACTGGACTTGATATGTATAATGACCCTTCAAGTTCTAAGTCTATGAGTGTGTGAATTCCTTTTCTGATGTTATTGAGGATAGGGTCAAATTCATCAAACTGAGGCCCATTCCCAGTTTGGCCATTTCTTTCTTCCGTTTCCTTTCTTGGCTTGGGAGAGGGGAAGAAAAGGAAGACAGTGGGCCATCTATCTGTAGTCCTCCCAGAATGCTCATTGCAAACTGCTCCAAAATGACTCCCTCAGGAGGAAGGTCTCTGATTGGCCGTTGGCCATGGATTCTTTACACCTTAAACAACTGACCCTACAGTTGTGCTCCACCCTGGAGCTGAGAACAATTCCCCAAGGAATGGTACAGGCTTGATTCCCTGTTCCCCAACCCAGACAGATGAGCCCCCATTCCAAAGAAACACTTCTGTCTTCTAGCAACCCAGCTGCAGCTGTAATGACAGCAGTTGTTAGACTTCAAGGCCTCCTGTGAGCCAGCCTGACCTTTCAGACATGGAGCCTCAGAACGAAACCAGGCTAGCTTATAAATAAGCACGGCCAGGAGGCTCAGAGAAGTGGGCTGGGGGCGTCATAAGAATCAGGGAATCCCAGAACCTCAGAGGCAGAAAGGACCTTAGCATCCATGTTGTCTAAGCCATGTCCAAACAAGAATGTCGCCTGTCACCCCCGAGGGCGTTCAGCCTCCGCCCAAAGACTTCCAGAAGGAGAGAGCTCACTGCTTTCCAGGGCCACCTGCTCTGACTCTGGATGGCTCTGATTGTTGGAAGCTTTTCCTTGCAGATAGCCGACCTCCGGCTCTCTGTACCTTCTGTCCCTTGATCCTAATCCAGTTGTCTAGGGTCAAGAAAGATAGATTGGGTCCTCCTTCCAAGTAACAGAATATTAAATATTAAAGACAACCACCATGTTCCCCCTGAGGCTTCTCTTTCCCAGACTGAACGTCTCAGTTTTTTTCATATGGCCTAGCTCAATATACTGGTTGTCTTTCTCCGAACACGCCGTCATTGATCAATTCTTGGAGTTTACAACCTAATGGGGGAGTTAACATGCATATCTATGTCTACATCTATGTTACTTATATATACATAAATATATACTGCCGCACACATACACATACACACACACACATACACATGCACGTACACACACACACATACACACACACACACACACACACACATACACAATACATTTAGAGTAGATGGAAGACAACCATAGCAGGGAAGGCATTACCAACTCGGGTCAAGGAGGACCAGGAAAGACCTCCTCCAGAAGGTGAAGTTCGAGCTAAATATTGAAGGAAGCCAGAGATTTTTAAAGGTAAAGGTGATGGCAAAAGAGCAGTCCAGGCATGGGATACAGCCAGGGCAAAGGCACAGAGATGAGAGATGAAGCATCATGCATGAAGGACAACAAACAGGCCACTTTAGCCTAATGTGGTGCCCAAAGCACAACAAATACTGCCCATGCGATCTCAGTGGACTGAGGGCAGATCCAGTGAGCCTTGAATGTATCATTGAAGAACAGCCTTCCTACTTAGCCTTCCTATCCCATGGCTGTATGAGACCCACAAGTCCCTGCTATGAGGTGACTGAGCTCTCCCACTTACTTGTACTGTAGACAGAGCTCACAGATGGTCCGGATGGCCTTGACCTCCATAGCGTCTGGGCGGGATGCTAAGAACGTGCTGTACTCAGAGGGTTCTGCACACCGAGAGCAAAGAAGAGATGGACATGACCCACAGAAGGACCGACACTCTGAGGCCGGGAATCTCAGAGACGTCTGGGCCTGTGGCAACCCATGTAGAGGGGGAGGAGATGTGCCATTCGTTTGGCATCTACGTGGACCTTCCCCCCACGAAACTCAGGGGCCACAGGAAATGTGGTGCATTGGGAATTAACATGCATAACATGCATGTACTGTCTGGTGCGGTGGATAGGGTGCTAGATTCAGAGTCGGGGGCCAGGGTTCAAATCTATTTTGCGCTACTTACTCTCTGTGTGACCTTGAGCAAAGTCATTTAGACTCTGAATCTCATCTATAAAAGCATAACTCCCAAGGTCCCCTCCCAGCCTCAATCTATGCTCCAATAAATGTCAACTGGGTTGGACTGGATCCTGTGATCCTGATCCCATTAGGCTTAGGAACAATCTGATCTCTAAATGAGACATAAAACACATTGTTTGGTGTAAAAGGGAATGACTATTCAGTGACCAATTTCTTCAATGTTCTGGACTTATCATTGTTTACTTCTTTGTCTTTGTACCCCTGATGCCAGCACATAGGAGGCACTTAAATGCTTGCTAGTTAGTTGAATCATAAATTTAAAGCTAGAAAGCCCCTCCCAGCTCATCTGGTCCAAAACCTTCACTTTACAGATGACCCAGGTCTCTTAAGTGATTTGCCTAACATCCCCCAGGTAATAAGTACAAGGGGTAGCATTAGAACCTGTGTTCTTTGACTCCTGAGTCCAGGATCTTTACCCTACACTGCCAAGTACCGCTTCAACAGGTTTGGGATTTCATTGATATAAAAATCACTTCGATAACACAGATTACACTCCCTTTTAGGAGGCAATGTTCCATGGGTTGCTATGGCCCAAAGTGTGACTAGCTTGGGGGCGATGATCCTCTATAACTGTAGGCATCCAGTCCTCAGACAACCAAGACGCCATCTATGTCTGGGCTCTTATTCTGAGGACAGACTGCAGCTGCCTCAGCTCTGAGGGCATTCAAGAACCCCACCTTCAGGTCACAAAGAGGAATGGGAGAGTAGAGAGGATGAGGAGGCCCTTTTTGCCTGAGACCCTGAAGACATATCATAACCCAAAGGACTCCCACTGCCCATGTGAAGCGTGATGTGCTGTGGCCGATAAGCGGGAAAGGCTTTCGTGTCAGCACCAAATATGCTCTCTCATCTTTTATTCTCCACAATACACAAAGAAGATATGTCCAGTCAAGCATCCCTTTACACTAGTCATTCACATCTTCGCAACGACAGCCCCTCTATATAATTGATTCTGGAAATGATTCTATGATAGTGACGTCCCAAATTGTTGCTCTTGGCATCAGCCAAAGTAAGTCACTAAGAACTGCTACAAAACAAAGGCCTGGCCCTTCCTCCCATTACCCCAAGAATTTTAATATTGCCCAAAGAAATGATAACAGCGACATAGTTTAGAGTAAGAATACAAGGATGGTACTATAATTACGATATATAATAATGGTACAATAACATCAGTCAGGATCAGAGAAAGTTAGGTCCATAGTGGCTTACCTCCAACGACAGATTTGTCCAAATCTAGTTCTTCCTCTGCGTGAAACTGCAGAAAAGAGTCCAGGGGATAGGAAATATTAAAATGCATTCTGGTGTCACTGCTCACATTTTGTATGTGCCTTTGTCTAGGATGTGAGGGCTGAAAAAGACCATCTAATCTAAACCCACCCTTGGACGGCTGAGGGAGCTTGCTCAAAGTCACACTGGGAATTAATAATAGTGTCAGAATTATAAGCCAGGTCTTCTAATACCTCCCCAGTGACCTTGTCACCATTGATTCTTTTCCAAATTTAGGGGCAGCGAGGTGGCGCAGTGGTTAAAGTGCCAGGCCTAGAGTCAGGAAGACCTGAGTTCAAATCCTGCCTCAGATACTTACTGTGTGACCTTGGGCAAGTCACTTAACTCCTGTTTGCTTTAATTTCCTTATCTGTAAAAGGGAGAAAATAGCAACTACCTCCTGGTTGTTTTGAGGACCAAATGAGATAGTTGTAAAGCTCTTAGCATAGTGCCTGGCACATAGTAGGTACAACATAACATCCGTGCACAAACTGTGATAATAGTTTTCCTGGAGTTTGGTGAATTTTAGATAACTATTTTTATCCCACTTTCAGTGATGCCTTAGAAAATTTTAGGGAAGGAAGGGACAGGACAGCTATAGACTTGGAGCTGAAAGACTTTGGAAGTCACCTGGTCTACTCCCTTCTTTTGTGATCCTGAACTTAAATTCTGGAGAGACTGTACTAGTTCATGGCGTGGGGCCATATGACATCATTGGAAGATGACAAAGTTTAAAAAAATAGCCTGTTGTCCTAGGAGGAAACTTGAGAGCATTAAAAGACTGGATTTTCCAAAGGCTCATCCATCTATTCCCATTTAATCATGTTCAATTGTCCATTTTCACTGTCTGATATATGTATATGTGTGTGAGTATGTGCAGTGTATATATATATATATATATATAAATATACATACACATATATACATATGTATATGTATATGTATATATGTGTAGGGACATATGTATTTCTGACAGAGGCATTGTCTATTCCATTACATATCCTAGGCTGGACAAAAGGCACCCTTCACCCATTTGGTTTTTACTGTGTGGATGGTCAGGCCAAACTCTTGTGAGTGAATATGGATTTCCTTTTAAAGGCTGCACACACAAGAGCATCTATAGTATCTTCCTCAAATTTGACTCTGGGCTAGATCTCCTCTACGACAGTTGTAAATGCTTTGGGCAAGCACAAAATCTCCTGCTTTATGCCTCATTTGATATTAAGGATCAGAGGGTTGTCAAATACAATTATCTCTGTTGCTATAGCTTTCAGGGTATATTTTATCATTTTGACATGTTCATGGGAGACATCTTGCTAGTGTACAACCCTGAAAGCAGTGTCTTTCTCTACTGGGCCAAACATCTTTTTATAGTCATTGAACAAGAATCATAGTGGGATTTGGCATTCTCTATACCTTTCAGTCAGTTATGGCACAGAGATGGTCTGCTGTGAAATATCACTTGTGGCAGCCAACCTGTTCCCTACAAACACCCTTACAAAGATGCCCTCATCACTCATGCAGATTCTTCTCATTAAGAAATTACATAGATAGGAAAGGAGCATGTGAGTCGATGTTCTCCCAGTTACTTTTATTTAGTATTAGCAAGGTACAGAATTTAATCCAGGTCTTTGGAATGCTCTTCTCTTTCAGATCCTTGAGAGCCAAACTCTCAACACCCTCAAAATTGTGTGGCCTCTAACACAATCCTGTTTTGTTTATACTTGGTGTAATCCAGCTAAATGAAGAGTAACTAGTAGATCGTTCATGTCCTGGGTGGGATCATTGATGGATGGCACATGTTCTCATGTCAGATTGTTATCCTTGTGATGTCAAGAGAACGTGAGTGAGAAAGGGCCTCAGCTTGTTGGACATACACTCCTTGGCAAACTTAAGAGAGGCCAAGGACAAGAATCACACGAGATGGAAGGATACAAGTGGGTGGCAATCTGCATCATTGGAGGGAAGATCCACAATGAAATGATTTTATACATATATATGTATATTATATATATACACGTACATATACACATACATATATAGATATACATATATGTATGCATATATGTATAATATATTATCAATACTATATATGTATATAATGGGAGAGAAACCTTGAGGAAGAACCACTGGTGCCCAGGCCATAGTCATTTAGAGCCCAGTTTCACTCTTCCCTCTCTGGACCTCTCTAATTCCTTGATAGCAGCCTTGCCCCCATGTGCATATTCTCTTCCCTTCTTCCTTCTGCTCCCATCCCTTTTCCAGTTCATTTTATTTGTCATCTCCTCCATTAGAATATAAGCTCCTTGAAAGCAGGCACTGTCTTTTTCACTTGAATTTATATCCCGAGTCTTTAGCACACAGTAAGTACTCTAGCTAGCTATCTGATCTAGTGGAGTGTCACAAGTCTTTGGCTTTGTTCTTTTCAGCCTTTTTTTTTTTTAAAGCAGTTATTTGTGTAAAGGCATAGATGGCATATTTATCAAAACTACGGCGATACACAGTAGGGAGAAAAAGCTGAAGTGTGGGAGGAAAGAATTATAATCCAAAAAGATCTCAAGTGGCTAGAATGATGAGCTGAGTCTCATAGGCAAAAAATGTGGTAGGGAATGAAGTGCAGAATTTGGATTCAGAGCATGGCTTCCCAAGATAGAAGAAGTGGAGTGTGGCTGGTCAGCATGTCTTGTGAGAAAAGGACTAAGTTGCTGTATCAGAGCCCACGCTCAGTATGAGTCAGCAGTGTGACGGCCACCACAAAATAGAAAGGGGCTCATGTTCTCTCTCTCTCTCTCTCTCTCTCTCTCTCTCTGTGTCTCTGTGTCTCTCTGTCTCTCTGTCTGTCTGTCTCTCTCTCTCCTCTTTCTTTCCCTTTTCCCTTTCCTCTCACTCTCTT